CTGGTTCCCATGTCCACCCCAAGACTCAGCATTGTCCTTGGCCTCCTGCTCCCCAGCATGGCCATGGGCATGGGATAGTGAGGGTTGTGAGGTCAGCATGTCTCTGTAGGGGTAAAAAAAAAAGAGAAGAGAGAGAGAAAAAGAATGTGGAAATCTCCCAAATAAAAGTTTCATTTCCTTCAAGTGCCTGCAGATCCCAGTGCAGATGCGCCCGCGCCCGCGCCCTCCCCCCACCCTCCCCCCACCGCTGTATGCACAGCAGTGCTAGCTGGCTTCATTGGCTATGCACCAGCCTTTCCAGAAATGCCAAGGCCTCTTGCTTACTTACTTTTCCAGTCTCTCAAGCCTCCTCCTTTTGGTGCTTGCTGTTGCCTCTAGAAGGGAGCCATGTTCTGGCCACTGCAGGTGGGAGGGGGTGGCTTGCAGACCCCTAATTCCCTGCCCATCCTCACTCCCCTTTTTGGGTCTCTTGTGCTCTCTGAAATATCACGGGATGGGCCTGACCGGCACTGACTCACACCTTTCCTTTATAGACATGGGTCTTTGCGTAGATGTGATATCTTTTATTAGACCAACTAAATAGTTGGGAAAATTGTTCTTTGCAAGCTTTTGGGCACAGACACCTTTCTCCAGACATATGGAGGGTCTGTTGGTGTTTGTGGGCTCTCCTGGCATCTGTGGGCCTTCCCTTCGTGGACTCTCTGCTGCTCCGTAAAACACCCTGATTGCAAGAAGGGCAACGATGCATGCAGTTGCTAGCTGCATGTCCCTGACTCTCCTAGGCTCAGTCCCATTCCCTCCACACTGGCACCTCTTGCTTGGGCAGAAACCTGCTCCTTCAGCATCCATGTGCTTCTGAGCTCTCTAGGATTCCCAGACTTGTCTGGCTACCAGGTGCCACACTGGCTCCAAATCATCTGGACAGAATCAACCCTGGCCTATATGTTAATGGGTACCAGAACTGCCTGATGGGGAAGTTTTGTGAAGTGTCCTGGGGAAGCTCCTTGTTTCTGGGTAGAAATACCCTTAGTGAGTAGGGAGTGTGCAGAGAGGTGGAGACAAACAGGACAGCTCAGTCTGTCTAAATAGATGCTGGAGGGCTGGCATCAGCTTGGCCCTGCATATCTGGCTGGCTCTGCTCACACGTACCGTCAGGTGCTGGAGTTGCCAGGCCTTGGAGGAGGCATCCGAGGTATCTGGAGAACAGGTGATAAAGGAGCTTGCATTCATGTGCAGTCACAGAGCCAGGACCAGGGGACATCTCTATACGCAAAGTAGGAAGCCCAGTCCTGGTGTAGCAGAGGGGTCTGAGGATTCAGTCTGAGTGGGGCTGGATGTGGGAAGTTTGCCCAGGTCCTTCCAGCCTTGTCCAAGCCTCCAGCAAATGCTACTGCGCTCCCTCCCTCGCAGTGGAGAGGGCAAGCATGTGCCTTGTCCAAAAGGCTGTGATCTTCTCATGTCTCACATATTCCCCCTTCTGCAAAGCTGGCTGGTGCCACACGCAGGGCCAGCCCTTCCCTGAAACGCAGCGCTGCGACGGAGCGGCTGCACCGCGTGCCTTTTGCGTGTTATATTTGCCCCTAACTCATCCAGCATGTGGGATGCTTTGAACTTCCTTATTCATCCTTCCTGAAAGAAAAGGTTAGGAACCAGCAGCAGAATCTCGTGACACGGAGCCGACGTCATGGGGGTGCTGGAGCTGATTTCAAGGGCTTGTGCTGGGACCAATTTTGTTCAAAGCCTGTGGCACGGTGCCTGGGTTAATGGGAAACACGGCATATGAGAAGCAGGTGGCAGGCTATTTGCATGAAGGCTGGGTCAAGTTTGGGACGGAGGAGGCTGGGACCTGGTTTTAGTCTCAGCAGCATGGGCTTGGAAGGACTGCTTTTACGAGAACTTGCCTCTGTGCTTGTAAACCCCTGTGATCTGGTAAACTACAGGCTGTGGGACACGCTGGGATGTGAGAGACCTGGGCTCTATGCCCAGCTCTGATGGGCAGCAAGAGCCTGGACAATTCAGCCACATCCTTCTGCCTTGCTTTCCACTCCCACCTCCTTGCCGGCCTTGCCTGTCATGGTGGAGGCCTGGTTCAGGCTGTGGTAGAGATTTCACATTAGCAGCAGCATCTGGACAAAACGTGGCATGAGCTTGTTAGTGGTTTGGGGTGGAAGATGGGCTGGTGCAAAGAGAAAAACAAGAGCTCCAAAATCATCAGATTTTGAACGTGTCTGTGGAGCAGACTGCTGTGCGGTGGGCTTGTGTCTTCCCAAGAAACATGGTGGACCCTGCGCGTGGCTTCACATTTCGCCAGGGGTGCTCAGCATCTCTGGGAATCAGGTCGGCGGTCTCTCACTGTGGGCATGCAAAAAGTCAAGGCACATACAATCGAATGCTGCTCTTGAACACTTGGGGCTAGGTCATTGCTTTAGGTCTTCCAATGACTTGGAGGTACTGCTACGTGAAAAGCCCAGGGGGCAAAGGAAGGAACCAGGAGAAGAGCCCAGGAGCCCCGTCTCAGCCCTTTGCGGTAGCTAGAGGCTGGGGTCGGGTCATCCCTAGACCGGTTCTGGACTGTTGGCCCACGTGCCATAACCCCTCAGTCAAACCCCGCGCGGCATGTTGCGTTTACCTCCTCCACAACATCTCGCTCTGGGAAGCCAGCTCATTAGATTTGCTGCTCAGGGTCTTCAAAATAATTTTCAATTTCCTGTAAGGATAGTTTTTAATTTGTTTCTGACGTCAGGAGTGGGAGGGGGGAGAAGGCAATTCTAAAATTCAACATTAAGCCCGTGTCCTCCTCCTCCTCCCCCCGGCGTGTCCTCCTTCCTCTGAGAAAAATCAGCACGTTGCATTTTACACCCCCTTCCCGCCCACGCCCCAAAGTCTCCCTGTTTTCCTGGCTTCCTGGCCAGCAACTCAGATTCCTAGATGCTCTCTCTTGCTGAAGAGAGATGGCTACCGCAGCAAGATTTGGAGGCTACGTCTAGACTCCACCTCCTCCTCCCAGAGGGCGAAATTAGGGAACAATGGCAGCCCCGGATCCAACATCAACAAAGGAGAGGGGCTTTGATCTGAAAAGCAAAACGATTTGTTTTTGTAGCAGATGCACAAATGAATTCCATGCTCTTTGCTGCGTCGTGTTGCGTGCGGCGTTTGGGGCTGGATTAGCGCCGTTTCTCTGCGTGGTTCAGGCTGTGATCATCTTCTCTGTGGATTTAGTCACGGTGGGCTCTCAGCCTGCTCCCCAGTAGGGGAAATGGCCGCCTCACAGAAGATGGCACGGTTGTCGGCTGCTGGGGACAGGTTTAGCGGCGAGGCAAAGGAACAGAAAGAGGCTTGTGGCTGGGGCTTGGGAGATCTGGATTCAGGTCTTGGCTCTACCACAGGCTCCCTGTGTAACCTTGGGCAAGTCACTTGATCTCCCCTTGCCTCCGTTCTCCCTTTGTGCTGCATACTAGAGTCCAGCGTGGCAGGCAGTGATAAAGTAGTAGTTCGGGGTCCCTGCCCATTCACCCGGCTGTGTGACTTCGGATGAGTCATTTCACTGTTCTGTGTGTCCTGCTTCCTCATCTTTAATCCATCATATCTTTGTAGACTATGAGTTCTTTGTATGTATACAGCACCTTGCAAAACGTGGCTCAGCTGGGCTTTTTAGGGGCCAGTTAGGGGCCTTGGAAATGTAACTGCCCTCTTGCTGTCTAGGAACAAGAAGAAGTACTTAGGATGGTGAAGGGCAGGCTGCTTAGTTGATAAACAGGGCATCACTTCCTATTGCTCTTGATCCATTTATTTTTTACAACAGCATGCATGAAAATTGTCCTGCCACACAGCTGATTTCTAACCAGGGAAGCTTGTTTCAGGGGAGCTAGCACCAGATGTGGATGAGTGTATGGTTTCACTCTGGGTGAGTCTATGGGTTTTTCAATGAAACAGGATTATTTTATTTTCAGATGGCAAATACCACTCTGGTCTGAATTAGGATTAGAGCAATTCCCTGGTTTCTGTGGGGAAAGGGAAACTCTTGTCTGACCCATTAACCACATAGTCCTGAACAGGCAAAACAGCTGCAAACTTTGTCCATGCTTCACTTCTTAAATAAGTGAATAAATCGAGGTTTGCAAAGTCACCAATAGCCTTGAAATGGGACAAGTAAGATGCTGGGGCTTATTTTATATGCATGTTAAACCAAACCTGGAAGTGTCCACACCAACCTGCCCATGGTGATATACAGAGCAAAGAGCAATCAAACTGTGGGAGAGGAGCAGGTGCCTTTCCTGTGAGAGCTGAAGGAGGCTTGGCTTCAATGAATTCCTCAGTAAAAAGAAAATTTTAGGGAAAAAAAATCATGTTTCAGGTTGACATTTTCAAAATGAAAATTCCTTTATTTTCCTGTTCCAAATGATCGTTTGCATCAACCTCTAAACCAATCACAGTACAAGAACCCAAACTTTATAAATGTTTAACATGGAAACAAAATGGTTTGGGTCAATTCAAGCTCTATTTAATTGTCCATTTGCAAACAAGTAAATACCTAAGGATGGGGATTTTGACTTTTTTATTAGGATTTTGGGATGGGAAAACTTTTCCTGGGACAGGAATACCATTTTAATACCCCAACCCCCTGTGTATAATCATAAACCCACCCATCACAGAGAGCCCAAACTCGTTCTTTGGTTGCAACTCAGTTCAACAATGAAGAATAAGGTAACAGAGGATTCAAACCTTCTCTCCCAAGCTGAGCTACCTGTATGGTTCCTCCCTCGTGTCTGCCCTCATCACGACCGAGGTCCATCTTCCAGACACAGCCCCTCTGTTTCCCGACTCACTCATCTTTCTCACAGCAGGACCGATGCTCTGATCATGATTTCAGGCCCACTTGGCTCTGTTGGACTATGCTTAGTGTGCAGCAGGAGCCCCTTTGCCTCCTCAGAACTGAAGGGTAAGTCCCCTATGTGAAGCAGCTGCAGGTGGTACATACAGGTGTAGAAAGCTGCCGGTTTGCACTGTTTGCAGAGAAATACAGCACCGTGTGAATGCTGATTAGAGCAGAGATCTGTCTGCTGCAACTGGCTATGCTGGGATGCAGCTAAGTTCTTTGAGCCCTACAGCCGTCCCTTTATCATCTACAGTTGTTGTTACTTCTGGGTCTCAGTTCTTGTGGTTGGACTGTGAAACTCATAGAAACGTAGAAAATGAGGGTTGGAAGGGACCTCAGGAGGTCACATCTAGTTCAACCCCCTGCTGAAAGCAGGGCCAGCCCCGACTAGATCAAGCCAGCCAAGGCTTTGTTGAGCCAGGTCTTAAAAACCTCCAAGGATGGAGACTCCACCACCTCTCTGGATAACTTGTTCCAGTGCTTCACCACCCTCCACATGAGAAAGTTTTTCGTAATATCCAACCTAAACATCCCTTGCTGCAACTTGAGACCTTTGCTCCTTGTTCTGTCATCTGCCACCGCTGAGAACAGCCCAGCTCCATCCTCTTGGGAACCCCCTTCAGGTACCTGAAGGCTGCTATTAAAACCCCTCTCCGTTTTCTCTTTTCCAGACGAAATAAGCCCAGTTCCCTCAGCCTCTTCTCAGCAGTCATGTGCCCCAGCCCCTAACCATTTTCGCTGCCCTCTGCTGAACTTCCTCCAATTTGTCCACGTCCTTTCTGTAGCGGGGGGCCCAAAACTGGACACAGGACTCCAGATATGGCCTCACCAGTGCTGAATAGAGGGGAATAGTCACTCCCTTAAATCTGTTGGCAGCGCTCTGGCTAATGCAGCCCAGGATGCCGTTAGCCTTCTTCACAACAAGGGCACACTGCTGGCTCCTATTCAGCGTCTTGTCCACTGTTACCCCCAGGTCCTTTTCTGCAGAGCTGCTGCTTAGCCAGTCGGTCCCCAGCCTGTACCGGTGCATGAGATCGTTCTGTCCTAAAGGCAGATATCCCGGGATTGCATCACTGGACCAACTGAAGAAAAGCAGGAGTGCATTCAGCCACTCACTAAACCCTGATTGGAGGGGCAATATGTATACATGCCAGTCCTGTGACTTTTCTTTTCTGGGACAACCAAAGGCACAACTTGTCCCAGGACAAATGCAACATCTGTTGGCAGTCTGTTTGTAACACCAAGGACCCCACTTCAAGGAGTCTTTGTTGTGCCGGGCACCTTAGAAATAGAATAAAAGGCCAGCCCTATCGAGCATTATTGCTATGATAGGGTTGTATTGCTGCAGCATTGAGGACGTTAGCCAGGGCTGGGACACTCGTGGTGCTTGGTGCTGTACAGAACAAAGACACAGTCCCTGCCCCAGAGAGGCAGAAGTGTAAATCAACATTACAGCTGACTGCTTGGGGCCGGAGCTGAAGGGGGATAAACATAGAAAGGAGGAACACAAACCCTCCTTGTGTTCATGTGAAGCACATTTTCTTCCCCCTGCCATCTCTCCAACCCCCAAGACTCATGTTTCTTGCTTAACATGCTGACTTCATCCAAACCATTCAGAACCCCTTACATTTGCTCTTTCCCCTCATCCTGGCATTAAGCCTGACAATGCCCTTTTATGCCCAAAGTGTTTGTGGTGCTTCATGTGACCTTCTTGCTCCAGGCTTTGCATTCATCCCTGCTTGTTTGATGTGCTACTGCTTTTTATTTTAACCTTTGGAGACACCCCCAAGTTCTAGCACAGATGGATAAAGGGTCTATTGAGAAAGCTGCCTCCATAGCCCCCTCTCTGCGCTCTGCAAGGAGCTGATGGACTATGAGGTAGGTACCACGGGGGAGTCTGGGTAGCCTAAAGCTCATAGGACTGATCAGGGGGATTGGGAAGGGGTAGAAGGAGGAGCTGTTCTGTTCATGAAAATTTGTCTTCAGTGTGTTGCTGGGTGAGCTGCATCCTCACACACACATGCCCATACACATGCACACAGGGGGTGTCTGCTGGGCTACAGGCTGTGTTTGGGGTTAGACCCCCAGAGACGTTTTGCCAATACCATCCACTCATTACCCTGTAGCAGGTGGTGGTGCAGGGACATGTCTCTATTTTCCTTCAGGGTTTAGCAGGTTTCATCACCAGGCAGGTACCCCACAGACTCATGTTGTGCCCCAAGCCAGGACACATTTTGTAGCTTTGCCTCATTGCTTTTCCATTGCAGTTTTTCTGGGACTCTGAATAAATCTGGGATATAGCAGAGAGGCCTCATCGACCTCAGGACTTTCACCTGCACAAAAGGGTTCTAGGAAACTTCCCTCACCAGTGCGTGGCCAGCTAAGCAGCGTGGTTAAAATCCCAGCCACTGCCTGTTCATCGCAAGCTCCTTACTGTGGTATTTGTAGAGAAAAGAGTGATTCTAGTACACCACCAGTCTTGATGTTACAGCAAAAGTGGTAGGTAAGAGTAGCTTGCAGGTCCCATTAAGCTACATTATTAGGTGGCAAATTCTCTGTCTTTGAAGTCTTCTGAAACCTTTAATTAAGCTAGAAAGATAGTTGGGTTTTCAAGGGAGTACCCAGGGAGGCTGAGAAAGCTCTTAACCACTAGGGAGATTTAATGATGGGAGTCATACAGCCAGTGGGCATCAGCATCGTATCCTGATGTAGGTCTGTGGAGGGCTCTTTCATCTGAAGCTGGGACAGTCTGCCCTGGGACTCAAGGTGCATACAGAATGACAATTTTTGCCTCATCTGGCCCCTGAAAGCACTCTACAGCCCTGTCCTAACACAAATGCATGGCTGCAGAACACTTTAAAAGGGCCTGATCCTGCGACAATCTGAACCTTCATTACATGAGGGTTCAGATGAAGGTGCTCCAAAGAGGAGTGCCTTCATTAACTTGTGTCTGTGCATGCTGGGTGCTGTCTTCAGAACTGGGGTGGGGGGAAAGAGAGAGTAGGGAGCTCATTTTGGGTGTTGCTTAGTCAGTGCTGGAGGGTGAGGCAGGTGGATTGGATGCCCCCAAGGCTGGGGGATCCAATCCATCCATCCCCTGACTCCAGTGCAGTCTGGGGAAATCCCAGAATGCAACTCTCTCCCCTGCCTTCTCCCTCTCCCAGCCTGAGACAGCACCAGGGGCCAGGAGAAGGGTAGTGGGGCTAGGGGAAGAGGGTGCAGAGTTGTAGCTTTTCTCCCTGGATCAGCTCCAAATTGGAGCTTGCTCCCCTCCCCACTGATCCAACACCTAACCTCTGTTGGGTCAGGAGGGTTGGTCTAACTCACAGTACTTTCTGTAAAGCACCATGAGTTAGACCAGGAAGCTGGACTTCTGTCTGCACCTTCAGAGGTTCTGTACCAGCCCAAGGGACAGGGGAACTTCACATCCTCTTGCTGCCCTCATATATCCAGGTCAGAGAAGCCACAGCCTTCTGTTATAAAGAGGAACAGAGCCAGTCCCATTGCTGGACTCTCTATTAAAAAGATCCTATGCCCCAGGCCCTGGAAGAAAACATGGCTGTAGTCCAGGACAGTCACTGACCAGACACTCTCTGCACGGAGCTTCATGATATGCCATGGGCAGGGAAATCCTTGATCTTGAAATATTGCCTCAACCCATCACACCCATGGTAGAGGTGAGGGGAGAGGGGCTTCAGATGTGCCAGGTGTCCTACTTGAGAGAAGACCTGATGCTCTAGTTCAGCTGGACCGGCACCAGTTATAGCAATTTCTAAACAAAGGTCTTGCAACTGCCCTGGTTTCCACTAAGCTCTCCCCATGTGCTTTGTACTTGGAAGCTACCATCAAGCGTGCGTTCCCAGCAGCAGAGCTTGGCTGCACCGGTGTCTCAGAGTGCGCTGGCACAACCAAGGCTAGGAGGTGAGAGCACCTCTATTCTTTTCTCTACCTGCACCCCTCTGACTGCTTAGCCCCATGCTCCCATCCATTCCTGGGCCCCATGAAAGACAGAGGGACTCGCAAGGACTCACATCAGGGGCAGGGTTATGACAAGCACGCCAGGTGAGCAGTGAGTGGAGGGAGGCTGTGAGGATGGATCAGGCTCAAGTTTTGGTCTGGTGAAAAACAAATTGGAGACATGGAAC